CCCCCCCCCCCCGAGTCCGAGACCCAGGGTTGGATAGATGACTGTGATAGATTATGAAATGCGCACCTGGACCATGCATTGCTACGCCTCAACAAAGAACTTGGGTTTGTATTGACAAAGAGCGATATTTTGAAAGCCTCAGACAGTTGAGGGTTCTACCTACATTAAAATAAGGCACTTCGGCGGAGGTGGACCGCGAGCGTAAGCATCGTTCTATGCTCTACTTTCCTTCCATCCCTGCGACGTACCTAAACTTGCTTGATTTGTCAAAGAAGGCATCAGAGTGGTGTCTTCGCTGTGACAAATATACACGCATTGGGCTGGTAACGTGGACGGCAGCACATATCCATGTGCATGTTTGTAGGCTCACTACGACCTTCAATACGTTGTGATCTAGAAAATGTTTTCTTTGTTTAGCACGGGTAGCGTGCGCCTTCGGGGGCTCAGCTTGTGTCTCCCATTAGAGCTGGGCGGGTATCAGATTATTCAGTGTTATCGGACTCGCTATGCTCTATGTTACGTATATGAAGCCTAAACGTTGTAACCAGGGATGCCAAACCCCCTTAAGCGAACAGGTATCGCATACCCCCTCAATCTGGTTTTTGGATCTGACTTTCATAGGTGAATTCTGATTTGTGCGTAACAAATAGCGTATACACTGCACTACTGTATTTGTTGTTCGAGATTTGTGAACCGCCCAACAAGGCTTTCCCTTTGCCTAGTCCTGATAATTTTGAGTTGGAACCCTTGGGCGTGGCGAATTCGTAGCTAGTACATAGTTTCGTCAGGGCGTTGTATACGTCACACTGCGCAGACGGCTGCTGATTTTCCTACGAATGCTCTGCAGGTTTGTAGAGGCATATCTGACAACCTTAGAGAAGCGCCTGCTCTTTGCCACGTTTCTTCTAGCCTGGCCGAAAGCGCATTGTACGTTTGTACATATTATCTTGTGTTTTGTGAGCATTCATTGCCTTTTTATTGCCATATCGGGCACGTTTAGGCGGATTCCACATAGTCGTGCACGTTCGTCTTTGCACAATGCAAGCATGATGCCGCGAACGGAGCATACCTCCTAAGCTT